GTCAGGATTACGTTACAGTACGTGAACGCAATATTCCAAGGGTTTGGAGAATGAACGTTTTTCATTTCTCTGAGAAAACAACTGTACCAGCAGAAGTAGCAGCAAGTATAGATAATGCCTAGCACGACAAAGCAGTTATTTTACAAATATGACCAGACAATAAATGAAAATAGAATAACTGTGCGTACTAAATCTTTTCGCTCTTTACTCCATCAAGGAACGAGTTTAGTTCTAGTTCTCATATCCTATTTCTTCTTCTTTAGTCCTGGAACGTGGGCGCATGTGCCATCTTTGATATTTGGCTCATTCTCCCAAACTAACGCGGTGGCTTCAAGCGACAACAGACTGCTTCTTCGATCTGCCAAGAACAAGCGCATAAACAACGTAATCAACTTGGAAAAACTGGCAGTTAAAGGAGTTACGTCACGGTTTGCGCATCTTCAAAAGTTTAGCCTAAATTTTGTTTCAAATCCGTTTTAATCTTCTCCATCCGTAACTATCCTTGTTCCTTTACTCTTTATTGTAATCCCTTTGATGTTTTTTTTACCTTACTGAACGACTATTTCCAGGTTTCCTTCAATTTCAAGGTAATTTTAACACACCGTGGCTGAGATCCTTTAATGAAAAAGCAGAACTGTACCTGATAAAAGCAAATGTACCCATGGAAGTTTAAATGCTTATTGTTGTTTATGCAAATTAGGACTAAAGAGGAATTCAGTAATTTTGTCACTCCTATACACCATCGAAATTCGAGGAAACTGTTGCGGAACAATTCACGACCTTATACAATAGTAGAATGTGCAAAAAGCGTCAGTTAATATGATACCGACCTGCCTCTCCAGATTTTGTTACTTGAATTTCCTCCTCACAAGTTTTCAAGGCGTCTCTTAAGGACACGATGGCTTTCTTGAACGATTCTAAGTCTGCCCAATTACGCTCTTGTTGGATCCTGAGAGTTTCTTCAGTAATAACATTATCAGCCCATTTAACTCGGTCCACCTTGTTACTCAAGAGGGTCAAAGACTTCCCTTGATGCTCTGCTGCCTTCAGAAGATTTTTAGCCTCCTTCAATAAATCGCCTTGCTTTATTTGGTAGGCAGATAACTCTTCTCGGAATAGCTTCTTGTAGGCCTTAAACTGTTCCAACTTCTTCCAATGTGGACTACCTTGCGCAAGGTGAACAGAGCTTAAGACACGATGATGACTGGATTCGGTCAACTCTTCAGCATAGCCACTGGCAACAGCATCGTTCCCCTCGATTTGCCTCTGGTAATCTTCTAAAGAGTACTGAGAGTTTTCGCGTTCGTCTGTGCCAAAACTCACATTGCAAATACCACAACCAGAACTATCAACTCTGAAGGGTCTAAAGTAGTCATCAAACGGATCTTCAACGACTTTCTGGTTGGAAAGAAATTCCTTTACTCTCGCTTCTTCTGCTGCAATCTCTTCTTCCCAGGACTCTGTTTGAAGGGCCTCCTCTCTTTCTATAGCCTCGAGCCTTTCATTTCTTGTGTGATCCACGTCTTCGCTGGGCTTTTCTTCCTCCAGTGCGCCAAACTCAACCGTCAAACTATCTTCCACATCTCCTGACTCCAACACTTCTTCAGCTGGAAGATCTTTCGTTTCCTGGGCCACTTTCTCCAATACATCAGTGTAAAAGGTACCAGGATAGTTACTTGGGTTCACTTTGCTCCACCAAAGTCGCTGGTGAAAGTTTTCCCAATGAACATCAGATAGAATCTCGTGTCTTTCTTGCAATAGATCCTGAAGAATGTCCACAATGTCGCGGATTCCTCTGGCCTGCCTGACCTGTTTCAGACATCTTTCAATCCTCTCTGGAAGAATGACATCACTGGACCATTCAGTGTTCGTCAGGTTGTGAAGGAGCCTGGTTTCGCTGTCAGGTGAAATTGACTGACCACAGTTACAAAGGAGGGTAAGGACCAAAATTACTACACGCTCTGTCTCGCCGCATTCAATGCAAGAATTGTTACAGACTCCCTTTAACAAGTTGAAATGCGAGGAATATCCTCCCAGCATAAGTGACACCAAATCTTGCAGAAACTTCTTTACTTCACGAATGGTTGATGGATGACTTTGGTGCATTAAAGCTGCCCGGTACATTCCAACATGCTTCGTAGTGGTGCAGTTTAGACTGTCCCAAAAAGAGATCACCGACGAGAAGCTAGCAGGAAGACAAACGAGATAGCGAGACTTCAGAGACTGCTGCAGACGAGCAAACAGAACAAGGTGGGCACACGTGAAGTACTCCAGGATGTCAAGACAGTTTCGTGGTGACGGGAAAGTTAGTTCTTTCTCTGGATTAGTTGTCATCAGTTCGAAGTGGCGAACTACGATGTCTCCAGCCCTTAAGATGTCCCCATCAACATGCAAATGACGCTTGGAATCCTCCCACCATCGGGAAAACCAGGTGATCCGTGTATCTCCTTCTAAAGCAATACCAGCCGGTATTGGATTAATTGGTTTATTTTTCTGGATGTCGCACGTTTTTCCAAATGTCTTCTCCGCATCACTGATCCACGACTTCATTTTCGATGGTGATCCGATTAGCTGAAGAATCTGTGAAACAGCCAGAAATAAATCGGCACTTGAAAGGATTTCTTTCTTCTCCCAAAACCCTTCGGCAAACTTGAATAGACGTCTCTTGAGAAACCCACGCTTCTTATCCCGTAACTGAGAGATGCAAGATTTCATGCGAATACTAGATGATTGGCCATTTGCAGGAAAAAAGAATGCTAGAAGTTTTCTGCATGATGCAAAGGTATCCGATGGAAACAGGTCGTCCAAGCTTTCCGATTGCCCCTGGAATATCCATGCATTTTTGTTACCAAATTTCTTCTCCGTTCTGTGAAAATCGTTCGCTTGAGCGTCAAGACAGATTTCATCCAAAATTGCTCCGAAAAGTTTGTCGGTGCTATCCTGGGATGGAGGCTTGTGTTGGTACTGGCAACTCTCAGCTTTGCACGGAAGGCCGACCAAACATTGCTGACATGTCTTGTGTGTCACAAACGTATTGTGCAAAACCCCGCGAACCTGTTCGATTAGTTTGGCGACGCTGTAAAACAGGACCTCAGCGATACGTTCACGAGCATCATAGAGATCCACCTCCCATTTGTTGCCGGGAGCAGGGCGCTTCTGTATTCCTTGGGAAAAGGAAAGAAAACGATCACGTTCTTTCAGCCTCACAACTCTCTTCGATGGATCTCCTTCCCTTTTAAGTCCAAAGTGTTCTTCGCATTGCTCGATTTGTTTCTGTGCATTTACGTTCAGATTACTCGCATTCAATGATTTAATCAGTTGCAGAACAGTTTTCACCATTTTCACCGCAGCCCAAGTGTTCACAGCAGGGACACCAGGTTTATCACTTGCAAGTTTCCACAGCAATTCAACACATTCAAGCTCACCACAGGTGTTTTGAACATTGCGGAAATTCGTCGCAGCCTCGTCCACTTTCCTACGGTCCCCAGACAGTCGGGCTTGCTGTAAAAGAACCTCGGCAACACTGTTCATTCGCTTCGCTTTTCTGTAAAGCTTCTCAGCCTCTTCTAACTGTTCAATTTGCTCCTCTTCCGTCATACCCCTTGAGCTGCGAACGTAAGCGAAAATACAATCAGCTGCAAGACTTGGGTTATCAGAGCTCCGAGCGTAGTCAGCGGCAACAAGAAATGATCCGTTTTCTCTCATTATCTTCGCAGCTTCAATTCCTCTTCTTTCCATCAATAACTCCCTTGCAGCGTCGGCAACCAAGTTATGTTTCTTCAAAAGCTCCACTCGCACGTCCACGGGCTGAACATACTGAAGTGAGTTCTTCATTTCTTCCATGTTGCCCGCTTTGGAATGGAGTTCTGCAGAGGCCAAGTATAACTCTTCAAGAGTTCTCCGTGGTGCAAGGGTCTGTTGTCGATTAACTGGTGACAATCTCTTAAACCGCTTCACGACATCAATGGCGTTGTGGTATAGATTTCCACGAACAAGGATCTCAACAGCTTCTTTGTAGTCTTCAAGTTTCTCCAGACACTGACTTGCTCCTAAAAAGTTACCTTCTCTTTCAAACCACCTTGCTGCAGTTTTGTCCTATAAAAAGTATCGTTACTTAACAAATAAGGAAGCCTAAGCCGTGTATTACACTGTGATAAAACACGACCGACGGGCATTTTAGAACACGAGGGAAATGTAGAAGACACGAGCCGCAGGCGAGTGTTTTCTGCATTTCTCAAGTGTTCTCAAATGCCCGTCGGTCGCGTTTATCACAGTTTAATACAGGCTTAGGCTTCTTTATTTGTTAAGTGATATGATATGATATAGAGGTAGTGTGGCGAAAAACAATAAAACACGCTTTTTCTATGTTTTATACTCTGATAAAACATGGGTTTTTGACCAATCAGAGCATGCGCTGGGTCCTATCTATATTATAAATTCCAATACAACATGGTATGTGCTTGTTATATCTTAACAAATTCATCAATTAACTGAGGTGGAAAAACGTAATTCGCAAGCACGTATATATAGCCACTAGATTGTAGCTTTTAGTTGCCAAATTATTAGCAAAAATTCGTGCTATCATATGAAAACTTAAACAGTAAAATGACGTATGTATCAAAATCTTGAACATCTTTGCATTTTTCACAAGAAAACACCGTATAATCATATACCTTCATTCTAGATATCATTTCCGTTGAATCACAACAAGGAAACTGTCCGACTCTTACCTTCCCGAGTTTCTGAAGAAGGCTTGCGTACAAGGTCCGTTCCCGAGCATTATACAGGCAGACCCTAGCTTCTTGAATCATGTTGCACTGCAGAAACTGATCGGCTGCTCGGAGAAATTCGTCCTTCAATCGTCGTGGTTCGGTGTGNCGAGTTTCTGAAGAAGGCTTGCGTACAAGGTACGTTCCCGAGCATTAAAGAGGCAGACCCTAGCTTCTTGAATCATGTTGCACTGCAGAAACTGATCGGCTGCTAGTAGAAATTCGTCCTTCAATCGTCGTGGTTCGGTGTGAAGACTTCGGGCATGGTCGGCTTGCACGTACGCTTTACACCTTTGGCTCATTTCTGCATTACCAGAAATTGTGAAGCACTTTTCTGCAACTTTCCAGAGCTTCTTGCTGAAGAAGAACGTCCCTTGCTTCTCCCATTCCTCCACGGAAGATTCCTTGGGGAACATAGTTTCCAAAGACTGTGCACCATCGGAGCTTTCCTCGGTTCCTGCTTGTAGTGTGACCACATCTGCCAAGCCGAGCTGCTCAAAGTACTCAAACACTGGCCGACGATTTTCTTCATCCTCGTCAAAGAACCAAACTTTTGCACGGGCTCGAGTCACAGCTGTGTAAAGCTGTTTCAATTCAGAGTTTAGGATCTTGTGCTTGTTAGGATTGAAACCTAATGGACGCGACTTGACGTTAGCTTTGTCGACACTCTTACAGGCTACCACTTCCAAGAGATATTGTGTAACAATCCTCCATTCAATGCGAGCCTAGAAAGGAATACGTTAACGTACAATCACGATTCGTTTCTTATCAAGAAGAGTTACAAAAACAAATAATTGAATGGTATAATCTAACGTTTATTAAGAAAAGTTAGTGCCTTTATTGCAAGTTACAGTTCGTTTAGTCGTTGTCGAAGTAAACAAGTGCATGTTAGGATTAGGTAAACTTGTAAGTTTTTTTGTTGTAGTGCTTACTGCACATATGCACCAACACACAGCGGATGTTCCGCAAGGGATTTGAAATGTAATTAATTGAATAACTAAACCTGGTGTTCCATCAAATTCTTAGAGTTAGCATTGAAAAATGTGACTGGCAACTTATACAAGGACCGAGGAATGACTATGTCAAGCTTGGAAATGAGAACACCACTAGTGTTGCCCATCTCGGCAGCACCTCACCTGTGAATCTTTGAAGAAGTTGTACACAAGGACGTCATCAAACTCCAATCCTTTCGCCTCGTAGATGGTCAACACCAGAGCGTGGCTGAGCTCCTCGGGAAGCCTTTCCCTCGCTTCGTTTGATGCAACAAGGATGACTTGATGAGCGCCAAACTCAATAGTGGTTGTCTTCCTCTTATTTCCACGAAGAAGTATCGCTAGATCCATCTGACTGCNCTCAATGGACGCGACTTAACTTTAGCTTTGTCGACACTCTCACAGTCTACCACTTCCAAGAGATACTGTGTAACAACTCCCCATTCAATACGAGCCTAGAAAGGAATACATTCACATACAATCACGATTCGTTTCTTATCAAGAAGAGTTACATAAACAACTAACTGAATGGTATAATCTAACGTTTGTTAAGTCAAGTTAGCGCACTTCATTGCAGCTTTCAGTTGTTTCAGTCGTTGTCGAAGTAAACAAGTCCGTGTTAGAATTAGGTATGTTAAGTTTTTTTGTTCTAGTGCTTACTGCACATATGCACCAACACACAGCAGATGTCCCGCAAGGGATTTGAAATGTAATTAATTGAATAACTAAACATTTTAATTTCCATTTTGATCAATGTATAGATAGTGTTGCCTTAAAATATCAATATATTGTCGACGGTCGCATCAATATATATGTCTTGATGTTCCATCAAATTCTTAGAGCTAGCATTGAAAAATGTGATTGGCAATTTATACAAGGACTGAGGAATGACTATTTCAAGCTTGGAAATGAGAACACCACTAGTGTTGCCCATCTCGGCAGCACCTCACCTGTGAGTCTTTGAAGAAGTTGTATACCAGGACGTCATCAAACTCCAATCCTTTCGCCTCGTAGATGGTCAACACCAGAGCGTGGCTGAGCTCCTCGGGAAGCCTTTCTCTCGCTTCGTTTGATAAAACAAGGATGACTTGATGGGCGCCAAACTCAATAGTGGTTGTCTTCCTCTTATTTCCACGAAGAAGTATCGCTAGATCCATCTGACTGCAGGACTCAAGAAGCACCGGCTTAGGGCCATCCAACTGACCTTGATCTTTAGCCAACTTGTCAAACGACTCTGGGAAATATTCCTGCAGTAAGC